GACTAGCTCAAGTAGAAATATTAAGCAACCTGATTTAAGATTTAAAGATGGAATGTATGGCAAATACTTCATTGCTATCATTGCTCATAAGAAAAAAATACATGCATGTCTGAATATGTTAAATGTTATGTGAAGTTATCTCTTAAAACAAAGGCACAAACACTTCATCTGAATAGAGCTGTAACTGGGCCAAGTACCTACACATAGATTAGCTGACTCCCTTATTTAAAGCCACATAATTATGGCTAATACATCCCTATATATCACGTAACCCACAAGAAACTAAGGGATCAGGAATAGTCACTATATAAATATAGACAAAGTCAGTGGACAAACATTCTGACCTTTCAATATATGGGGCAGCCATACATGTCTGCATGACGTGTATAAATACTGATTCCTTGGTCACAGTCTAAGGCCAATAGGATTACAACAGCTAATACAGAGCAACAGATTAACTGGTGTTAATACCTGAGGGAAAAAGTATTAACATCATTTACTGTACGGTGCATTAAAAATTTAACAAACCAATGTTTCGATTATTCACATTTGAACACCATATTTTCTCTCTCTCTCCTCAAGATCACAATTGTTTGTTTTCCCTTAGGTCTTTTCTTTGTCATTGTGAATAAAATAATTAAGAGGAATCAAAGCCAGAAGGTAGGAGGTGTAATGATTCCTTGTTACAACCAGGGACATGTAAGGCCTACCAAAATGCATTTTTCTTAAAAGCAGAGAGATCTCATGCACCTCCAAAAGACGTTATATTTTCAGCTTATAATAATGATTAGAGGTTTTAGGTGTTTCAACTGTTGGCACCGAACTTGAGGCACCTTCAGGGAGCCTAATTTTGAAAGAGCTGAGCACTTTCTGAAAAAATCAGACCCCTTCTAAATGTCTCAGGGTGGTGCACTCAAAATCATTAAACTCTCAAAAGCTCAGTTTCTAAAGTATAAGCACTGAATTTTATATGCTGTTTCAGTCCTTAACAATCATTTCTAAGGTAGATAAAGGTAAGGATAAAAGAAAAGAAAAATATATCTATGTTAACAAAAAGATATCAATTTAAAATTGGTCTCAATAAGAAAATACTAACATCTACTTTTTTTACTGTAAAAAATTATGTAATGGAATACCCCACAAGCAAAATGGCTTGGGTACTGACAGGTAATGACAACTATTAATTGCTATTGAATGTAAATTGAATTTTAATGTTAAAGTTTGTTTGAAGATGGCAAATTAAGACTTAAAATAGCTAACATTACATATCAAAAACAAAACTGGGTACCTAAATTCTTTAAAAATGTTTGTAAGTATTCATGAATTCTGAAAATAAAACATACAGTTGTTATTTGACAAAACACTACAATTATTCTTTGTGTAGTACCTGAGCTTCCAAAGTACAAGTGAAAATACCAAATATTTCCTCAATCACACATGAAAATGTTTTTTTTACTAATATACAAATATATAGCTAGCTATTTCTTTTATCAAACAAATGTAATTTGACCAGTTTGCCTGTAGGAGGAGTGCTAGGCAGTGAATAAACTTAGTATTTTATAAATTGCCAAAGTCCACTTGGGCACAGAATAATTCTATCTTACACATGCAGCTTTTTTTCTTTCCTTTTTTTTTTAGTTAGGTAAAAGTTTTTCCTATGTTGGTTTGCAAACACCTGTCAGAAATCATCTTAAACTATTTTTTCTCATGTAGATGAAAGTATGGGTGTATATAACATTACACACTGATGGCTACAGTGTAAATTATACATTTAAAATCGGAGACTAGGAAAAATCTAAATTCTATTGTTAACTGAATCATTACTAGTACACAAGGCACAGGAGACCATTAGATTCTAATAATCCACTTTATACCTTACCTCCTAATTTTTCAGTTGAATTAAATAATAATTTTAAATGAAATTATTTTAAACACATATATTCAAGTGTACACAATTACTGAAACAAACAAGATATTCAAAAAGAAAATAATAGTATATGCTATATTCTTTTGCCTAATTGCTTGTGCTCTTTTTATCTGGATAGTCCCACTGAAGTCATGGGACTAATCATATAAACAGTTACAGAGTAAAGTGTTGGCCTATATTTTATCTAATCTGAGGGACTGATCCTCTTCTCATTTAGTTAAACAGGAATAGAATTGGATCCTTACATGAGATATGCAGGGAATTGTCACTTTACATGTAAGTAATGTATGAAACAAATAATATGATATTGAATTATACATTTGAGAATGGAAAATGGTTTGGAGTAAGAATGTTTTTTGTTTTGTTTTAAAATCCCACTTTCCTGAGTACAAAATCCCTATTTCCTTTACAAAATGTGCTTTTCTTGTAAAAGCTGAATACAGAATAGACTCTACTTTAAAAAGGTGGATGGAAGCACATCCATACTGGTATGGATATACATCCTAGAGTTGCACGTCTCTGTCTTCACTCTCTCTGTTAGCTAAATCTACATGACAGTCTGCTGACATTACACAGTATGCAACTCCCCTGTTCAGCATACTGGCAGTTTAGTATCTTGCCCTGAAGTGACTAATTCTCACCATGCCCTGCATAGGGAGTCTATATGTGTAACCTAAGGTTCTTTAGTCTGCCCTAGGCATTAGCTACTTAAGAGTTAGGCATTTTGATGGCTAGCTTTCAGGAAGATGCCATGATACCCAACTTAAGACCTTTACTGGATCTGGTCCCCAAATCACTCTGTCTGTGATACCTCAACCCACTCACACAATGGAAATTCACAAGTAAATGGGATTAAAGGCTGTCCTTGCATGTCTGGGACTCCAACAGCATGCATTAGATTTCTAATAGCAGTACATTGAATCAGTCTGGGAAGGGAAGCCACCAGAGACATGACTAACAGTTAGCAAGCAAAAAGAACTTGCAGTGAGAGCTGCAAATACTGGGAAAGCAAAGCACCCTTCATCCCCGTCCCCATTTCTCCAAAGTTGCAAGAATACTCTTCTAGATACCTCCACTTTGTGCCAGTATATCTAAAAACTTCTAGATATTTCCTATATTCTGCTCAAGAATATATTCTTCCATTTGGAAACTAAAGATTTTGGTATATATTCTTTTAGGGGCCTGTCAAAATTTAAAGTGTTATCAACCAGGATAAGAAACTAGAACTGGTATGAGGACAACTGTGCTTTTGAAAAACCAAGTAGGCAAGTGACAAAGTTACCTTCTCCCTTGTTCTCTGAACGCTTGTAATACCACTAAAAAGGGGAGGGGGTGGGAAGGAGCAACACATTTTTCAAAAATGAAAAGTGACTCATGCAAGTCAATAGTAATATTCTCTAGTACTGACTTGGCTCAGAATGGAACTCTGCCAGCCTGCAAGGAGAAACCCACAGTTTCCAACGTTTTTCTCTTTTAAAGGAGAAAATCTGCTTTTAGTTGCGGCAAACAAAAAACCCGAATCCTGTTAATGATATATTAGTTCTTCTTTGCTTTCTGGAAACCTTATTTGTAGATGCTTTTGAAACAGTCATGTACTAAAAAATATTCAGGTACTTTCTTGTAGAGTGATTTTCTAGAACCAATGCTGGTTAGTTATAAATGTGTGTCATTCTGAAAAATCTAGATGCACTTGGAAAAAAACATAGGAATCTTTAATATAGCTGCAGCAAGGGATGCCCACCCCACTAGAAAATGGCCTACTCCAACAGCATTATTTTTTCAATGTGGCTTTCTGGCCTCCTGGCTCTAACTGCTGAAAATGTAATGGGATGCATTCCTAAAGAGTTTATCCTCTAGTTTAATAACCTTCAAGGCAGACATGAAAAGCGCCTTGTATATTTGAGGTTAGAAACTAGATAACACTTTACATTTATTTATTTACTTCATATAGGTGCGTATGTGATATTGTACAAAACCAGCAATAACCTACATTTACAGAAAAAAAATACAAACGAGTCATGAAGTAGTACCTACACATGAGGATAGAAGTGAACAGAAAATGGAGATGTAATAATGTGGCTTTTGCAGTTTTAATGTATAATTGACATAAGTATATAAGCATTCAGGGGAACACATGTACAATGTAAAAATGAACTTCTGCTGGAAAACAAATCATGTGCACTGGTTAAGATTAAAAGCCTGGAGAGCAGTCCAGGAGTAAAGGAGACAAATATCTTCCCCACATATCAGAGTACTTGCAATACACATTTTTACACATCAACACACTTATACATCCACCATCAAATGGAAACATCCACAAACTAGCATGTGGCTCATCAGCACATACTATCTCATACATAGCACACCCTGTTGCCAAGGTGGCTCTCATATAGCAGGCAATTTTAAGCAACCTTACGCTTTCCCTTCTGTTCTCCCCAATGTGTGAGGTCATGGATGAGATAACTGGATTTGTCCCTTTGGTTATAAAAAGTTTTTTTGTTTGTTTGGGTTTTTTTAGGAGGAAGGGAAACAGGAATATTTATATGGAAGATCTTGATGGCCTATTTCTTAAATCCAGGGAAGGAATCACATGGTCATTTATACAATCTCTAATACAGATTTAAAGTCACCACTAGAAAGCCTTCAATTACATAACAGCAAAAATCACAGCAAATTTAAATGAGTTTAAATCAGGTTTCATTTTGGCCCTGCTAGGATCTGTACTAAACAAGTACAATCCCTTAAAAAAGCTTATATGGGCATGCAGATTAATAATCTGTCACGATTCAAGAACAATCTCTAAATCGGAAGCTTTTAAAAAATGAACTTCAATTAAAATGAAAAAAAAAATGTTATAAACATTACGAAAAGAGAAAAGAAATATAATACATAAATGATAGAATTATTAAAATTAATTGCTGAAGCCAAAAAGATTGTATTGCAGTACATACAAATCTAAATGCACTAATTGCATATAAAGCCAGTAAGGATTAGCAATGAATTCAGGCTTTCTTGATTGCTTAGGTATCAGTTTCAAAAAAAGGGATTAAATTACATTCTAAAAGCAACTTACCTGTGACGTCAGTTTGGATGTCAGCAAGCTTAAAGAGAGGTGCAACTTGTTCATAATAAATATGAGGAGCTTCTCTTTCATGGCTGTTTGGGTTAACAAACACTTTCAGGGATTTGGGTCTATTCTGAAAGCCTAAAAGAATAATACACACAAAGTGTTTAAATGTATTGCTAGTTCTATAACTTGAATAATACTTTTAAGCCAACATTCTTGGGTACATTAGGAAAACTTTACTTCATCTAACCTTATTAGTAAAAGCAAATGTTTGATTGCAAGATTAATAAATTATGTTCTCTTCTTGAATAAATGCTATCATAATCTGACACTAATATTGAGTTGTTGACGAGCTGACCTGCTTACATGTTTACATCTAAGAATAATCAGTAAGAATGAGTCAGTTCAGCATTATGTGAAAGAGCTCCAAAAAAAGAAACAGGGTTGAAGGGGAGGTAGAGATGCATAAGACAGACAAATATTATCTCTTGGGAATTTAACAGAAAATACTTCTCAGCAAGGATTGATGCTATGATTTGTTACTTTTACTTTCTGAATTTATAGACTATATAATAAATTACAACACAGCTAAAGCAGGGGTGGGGGGTGTGAGTGTGAGACAGACAGAGAGAGAGAGAGAGAGAGAGAGAGAGAGACCCTTCTGTTTGTGGGAGTTAGAAAGGAGGGGAAATGAAATAAAAACACAAAAATAAATTAATCTTGGCAATGTTATACAAACTATTACAATTAGTATTTTTAAAAGCATATTAATTTCAATTAAATCTGCTTACATTCTAATTAAGCTTACAGCAAGAAAAATGTTTTCTAAAGACGAAAGGCAGAAAAATGCTGGAAAATACTTAATTGTTTGTTGTTCAAAGGGTGGCTCATGTACCAGTGTTAATTAAACTGCATACAAAGGCCTGGAGCTCTTAACCCCTGGACTGTCCACAGAATATCAGAAACTAGTTTAAGCACACTTTAGGCAACTTAATGTTTTGCCACTCTAGGGCAGGTTTATTTCTGATCCATATTATCCAGCTCATTTTCCATTCATGGGTGGTCACTTCCCACAGATGAGCCACCAAGCTGCACTCGTCCAGCATCCTAGGATGCAGTGTGTCCTCCTGTTCTGCAGACAAACTTTCCACCCCCTGAATTCTACTGCCCAACGGAAGGTTTGGACCCAAGCCAACTCCCCCTCTTACCCCTCGGGGGGTGTGACCTTCCCACCCCCAGGGATGTAACCCCCATGCAAACAGCCTAAAGAGCACATGACAGCTAGCCAGGTCACAGATGGGTCCAGGAATAGGGTCTACATGAAGTGGGGAGAAACAAGGGCTGGGGCTTCTTTCCTGGGACAAGGGCAGAGCTCCCACAAAAACAACTTCCTGTACTGTTCCCACCTCCCAGTCATCCTGGGAAGCACAACCAGCATTCCCCACACCCTAATCCTAAATCCCAATTTATTAAAATCTTAGCCGTTCTTTAATTTACTTCCCCTCTTTTTCTTCTCAATTTTTTTTACTTTTTAATGTTATCCTTCAGTGGCTGACTTCATTCATTTCACTACCCTTCTCCCTCCCCCATTTCCTTTCCACCTCCCACTGCATTACCCACTTCCATCCCATTAACTCTCCACCTCCCATCCTCATGCCCCCCCAACCCACTTCTCACATATCCCCACTTTATTCTTCTAAGAGTAAAGATCTATTCCCTAAAATGTGATGTAAAAAATAAGGTACCTACCTAATAGGAAATTTTAACTAGCCTGCATTTCTGCAGTTTACTGATGAGAATATAATGTGGGACTGTATCAAAAGCCTTTCTAACATCAAAATAATCTATACCCACTTCATATACCCAACTAGTTACTTTGCCAAAGAAGAAAATCAGGTTCTGTGGCATGATTTCTTTAAAATATCCATAAGGACTGCTACCCTTTACTCATCCAGGCAGTTACAAAGTTCTAAGAAACCAATTCTGAAGTGGAAGTGGTGTGGTTAGAGGTGTCTGTGACAGACACCCATGATGAGCAACTTGAAAATTCCTGAAAAATGATTACTTATCATAAAAACTAATTAGTCAGGGTTCCTTCAGCTCAGCAGACCCATCGATTTGTCTCATTTAAGCTTTCTTGTTTTTCGGTGTTACCACATGATGGCGATAGCCTTCTAACAGAAAGCAGATGGCCAGAGATCTTTCTGAACTTTTTCAAGACCCTTCTTGCATTTGATGAAATGAGATTCAGCTCATGAAAGCTTGTGCTCATACATATAAAGTAGTGTGTGCGCATGTGTCTGCGTGCATATATATATGTATATGTGTGTGTGTGTGTGTGTGTGTGTGTGTGTACACACACACACACACACACACACACACAATGCACAATACACACACTACTTTGTTTAGTCGATAAGGTGTAAATCTACCTTGCAGTGGACAAGATGCGTCTTTTGCTCCCAAGAGTTCTGCACTTGGAGATTGTGCATCCATAACATTCTCAGTTTCGATTGGTTTGTAGTAATTGCATGTAAGCACACAGCAGACGAACAAAATTAAGTTTAAAATAGCATACATATTTCCCAATGCTTTTACTACATGTTCTTTAGTACACAGATTCAAATTTTGTCGCCTCAAAAGTAATGCCAGATATGTATGTATAGAGGTAAGAATTAAATATTCAGAACATATAAGAGTAGACAAATGTTCACTTCTATCTACATTTTAAAAATTCTTACACAGTCTCATTGTTAAGATCTTGCTGACATGAATTTCTAGTTTTCAAGTTAGGCAGGACAGGATGGCACCTTAGAGACCAACTCATTCAGAGCCATGAGTTTTCATACACAACATCCCACTTGATCAGATATTATCAATGGACTTGCAGAAAACACGGGTACTAAATAAAAGAAACAAATTTAAATATAAAGGACAGGGAAAGGGGGGAGGAAATGACAACGGGAGAGGGTATGGCTGAGAAGTAAAGTTTGGCTGAAGAGATCAAAGGGGATAAAATGAAGCACTTAACCATTGAGGGATATAACAGTTATAAAAAATAGTCCAGGTAATGGGATAAAAATCCAGAGTTTCCCAGTTGAAATAATTTGCTACCTTCAAGAAAAACAAAGAAGGTCTACATTTCAAGTGCAGCGCCAACTGCTCAAATGAGCAACTTGCATTTTAAGTAAACATGAAAAAGGTAAAAGACAACAAACAATTCTAAAATTGAAACATGAAATTTGCTCCCTAAGTTTTCTGCAGGACTCTTCCCTTTTGCTCATTTTCTGTACTAACTGGGAAAACCCTTGAGGAAAGCCATTACACCCAGTTCCACTTCTAGATGTTTATATCATATGGATTTGCATCCTAAAAGAACAATCCTTGGTTTCTCTAAGACACCTGCAGAAGAACAAATGTGTTGGGACAAAAATACCGAACAATTAAGACATTAAATGTCATACAACATCAGGATGTGATCTAAGGAATCTTTATGGGAAATTTATGCTGGGTCTCATGCTCTTCCATCAGCAGATATCCTCAAAGAATATCTCTGTATCCTTCCAGGAGCAGAATCTTCAGAGTCAATAATTCAAGGATGGTCTCCCTACACAAATAGGAATCTAAAAGCAATATACCTTCTGAAGACAGAATCCTTATAAAGCCCCACGTATGATGAATTCAAGAGACAGACTATATTTTAAAATCCAGGAGACAAGTCTCTCATTTTGGGTTCAGTTGATGAAACTGGTATTTATACCACTGATGGACCCACCATATGCTCATTTAGCTATTTTGCCATTCGTTACATCTATAATGTTAATGATTAATCATTATTTTATATCAACAATCTTCTGAAATTATAAAAAAGGAAATAAGGAAAAAGCAACCGTGGACCTATACATTATAATCTATTACCAAAATTATATAAATAAGCAGAACTGCTGAGATCAAAAAGGCACTCTCGGCTTCCACAAGGCATACATTTCTATTATTAAGATTGTAAATTCAAGTAGTTTCCTAGAGAATTACAGTAATTTAAGATACTGCCATAATAGCTGTATTTAAGAAGCTGAAAAACTATCAATATAGATAAGACTAGTAAAATAATATAAATTAGGACAAAAAGTAATAATTCATAAAAATGATTAAGTGTAAAGAAAAAGAGGATTCCTAATTTGATACACCAATAAACAGATCCCTTCTTCCAGCACTTTTTAGCAGTGCCGAACTGGCTCCAACCCACTTGACAAGCCACACTCCTCCAGGTAAAGAAACTATTTCAACATAACACCAATCCAGCCTAATTAACTAGAAAGTCTTACATTTCACTGTAAAATATATAAACTACATGCAAAAGGAAATATTAAAATGAAATATTAATTTCAAATATTAACATTGTTCAAATATTAAAATTGAAACAAAGGCTGGGGATGTGTTGGCATGTACTATATGAATCCAAAACTTTGTGGAACACTGAGCTGTACCGATTAAATAAAAACTGATGAAGTTATAATTTATCACTCTGCTACTATAAAACAGCCAGTATTAGAATAAAAGATTCAGATTAGGGCCAAAAATAAAAAAGTGAGAAGAGGAAACAGACAGCAAAATGTCACTATCCCTCTTAACAGTAAGAGATGGCTGAGTCCAAAATAGAACATGAAAATCTTAAAAGGAATATAAAGTTTGGACATGCTAAGGAGTGCAGATTTTGAAATCTTGTAAAAACTAACTTTTAAGAGTCCTGTGTCACACCCAGTAATTTTATCATTTTATTGCATATTCTTAACCGTTTTTAAACAAAGGGTATGAACTGCAATCCAAATCACCATATTAACCCACCATTTTTTAAACTGTTATTGAAAAGTAGACTAGAGATATAATATGGTTCTACTATTATTATATATTATCTATAATATTATTTGTATATAATGGGATTATTGAAAGCACTGTACCTATTTATGACATAAAGCTGTTCTAATGCTAACACAGAGAGCATATTAATAAGTTAAAAGATTTAAAAACCCAAAAATAAACAAACTGAGATTTTATTAATAAAAAATAAGTATAAATGATTCAGGTAAACAAATGCATAAAACTGATCAATTAGCATCACTGATTGTAGAAATATACAT